GAAGCAACTCATTGCACCAGTTGGGGTTAAATAACTTGTTTCCAGCTGAAAGATAATCGCCCATGCAGTAATTATCCAATAGGAGGCTCCTACCTATTTGCTTACATAAATCCAGGTGGCGACTTTTTTTTTTGGCCAGGCAGTGTATTTTCTCTTTGTTGGTTTTAAGGGAACCTAAAATGTTGCTAACACTTTAACATTAAGTGTGTTTTTCATTGTCACCCCCTGCTGTTTTTGCCTTGTTCTACAGTGGATGTTTTCTACCAGAACAAAGCCAGAAGGAACTCACTGCTCAACCGGTAACTGCATCTTATCTGTGCTAACACCTAACACGTTAGTTTAATAATTTCACCTGTTAGGGAAATATAGTGAGTTAACGTCGACATTTAGCTATCAGTATAAGCTACTTAAATTTTTTTTTTGCCAGGATCAAGTGTTTATTCCTCTATTAGTTTTGTAAGTTTATGTTTAAATACAACCGGCCGCCACATCATTGTGTCCATCCTGTCTCTCTTAGGATTAATCATCTAGAGACATTGCCACCCAACAAGCCACTCCCTCAGCTGCCTACCCATCATCCCCCTCTATCTCAGGACTCCTCCACTGGACCCTCTGACTTTGGACATACAGCAAATGGCACCATCCTGGTGAATGGAGCCCGTGGTAGTAGCAGCTCAGACATTCTTCTGGACAACATCAACACCTCAAAAGAAGTGTTATTCCGAGGAACGGCTCCTGCTGGAACGTGCCAGAGCACAGAGATTATAACTGTTGGACAAGCAAAGCTATATAACGGACCTAGCGAGGTGGGAGGACAAGGGGGAGGAGTAGGACGCGGAAGTGGGCACGCTGAGGTTTTATTAGATTACGTCTGGGTAAAACAGCAGCAAATGAAGCAGTCACAGCCAGGTAGCAGGCAGCCAATCACATCGCAGTTTTACAATGGCTATTTCACACAGGACCAGGGGCGCCTGTCATCTCTCCACAGCCACCTTGCAGAACCACGACAAGTCAAAGTGACCCGTACCAAATCTTGTGGTCCTTTTCTCCCAGGGCAGCAGAAACAACAGCCTAAAGACCAAAATTTCTCTCAGTCCACCATCCTGCCTGACACCAAGTCCCACCCAATGCCTCCTATACCTTCAAAACTACCACCCAACCAGAATGCGCAACTAGAAGAGGCCACAAGAAGCCTCCACAAAGCCCTGGCCCTTGAAGGTAAGCCCCTGAGAAAACTCAATCCACGGATTGAGTTTGCCAAAAGAGCAACAAAATTCACGTGTCTAAGTTATGTAATTGATGTAGTCAGAACCAATCATTTAACATATTTTTTTTTCCAATGGCAGGTCTGAGAGACTGGTACCTGAGAAACACAGTTGGTTCTTTTCAGCAGATCCACAACAATGGAAAGCCCCCCTTCGGGTTCACATCTGGGTTGCTCGCTAATGTAAACGGCTGTGTCAAGGGTCAGTCAGAAAGGGGCACAGCTCTGCAGCAAAGAGTAACCAATCAGGGTGTCATCCATCCAGCAGCATATTCCACAGAGATGAATGGTCACACCACACTGTCTCATCATCAACAGAAGCTGCCACATTCTGCAACATTCCACGGTCACCAGCTGCATGGGCGGTAGGTCAGTTGACCTGTCCAGGTCTGGAAGATAGTGAGTCATCTGATGCTTGACCAAACCTCTGTCTTTGTGTCTGTCTATTTTCTCATGCTTGACCAAACCTCTGTCTTTGTGTTTTGTGTCTATTTTCTTAGGTCTGTGGACACTTTGCTTAACCACGACTCGTTTCCTCCTCAGCAACAGGAAGTTGATTTTAGGGAGTCATTTGGGGAGCAGCTATCTCCTGGAACCTTGGTCTGACTCAACTGTCCAATCAGGATGTACCAATCAACAGCTCCCACTGTTCTTGCTCAGACAATCAGGATACACCCAATGACTTTTGCTGACACTGATAGTGATGACGATGACATGACCAGCTATGTCCTGAAAACCAGCAATTTGTAAATGTTTTGACCGAAACTAATTTAGAATAATCCTATCAGGTGATGCGTTTGAGTCCTCAGGTGAATCCTTTGCAAAACCAGCATGTAAAGCTGTAAAGGTTTTTTTTCTACTCTGCAATAAATGGTGTCCACATCAGAAATGTGGACTGTCTAAAAGACTTTCACAGGACCAGGAGCCACATTTAAAAAAAGATGTCAAAACCAGCTGTACATTTTTTTTTAATATTCCCTGCACTCTTTGGTAAAACTTCAAACCTAATTTTGATGGCAATGCTGTTAGCCTGTACAAGCCTATAAGCAATTCAAGGCTAGTTTTTCTGTGTAAACCCACTTGTGATTTTGACCAGTTACCCAGTTAGTCAGGGTTTAGCTTCTAGCAAGTTAACTCCAAAGGCTTTAGGACAGTCTCAGAGTATGGATCTGTTTAAGAGTTGACCATTAACATTCTAGTTAAGAAGGCTATTAGTCTTTGTGACAGCCAGACCCTTATCCTATTATCCAACTGTCATGTCTTGACTTTTAGCTAGTTATGCATTAGCTCTGAGAACCTAATCTGGCTTTATCGTTTGCCATAGTAATCAAGATAGTTGCATTAATGTCAGGCTGTTTTGTACTTCATCCAGACAAGAGAATTAAATGGTTTTCCTTAGCAAGTAAGGCTGTAATTGGCACTCAGGATGTCGGCACATTAGCGAGTCAGAGTACTTGCCATGCATATTGTTAGTATATCAGTAGATCAAAATACCCATGTGTCAGGTTGTTTGACTCCAAACCCATTACTCTAAATGAGCCAAAAGCATATTTTCGGTATCTACCTTTGAGATGTAGACCAGCTCTAAAACTGGTCTCAGGTCATTTTGTAAGGATATGTTCAATTAGTTTGAAAAGACAGTATGCCATTGATTTCTTTCCATACTTAAATTCTTTGAAAGACATGTCCTATGAGATCAGATCTGATTAGGTCCAGGACTGATGAGCTGCACACCTGACCTAAGACCTATCAAGTCCAGAGCAATAAGAAAAACTATTTTTTAATTTTTATATTTCACATGTTCCAGATGAGAATGTTTGTAGTGACGATCAGACGGTGATGTCACAACGTCAAAGGTTATATACTCTTGCACTGAACTTATGTATTTTAAACCATATGAACATTTGGAAAATTTTGAATGTCCCAATTTAGTTCAATTTTGCATGGAAAAAAAGACAAATCTTTGTTTTCTGCCTTCTCACGTCAGATTCTCAAGTCAGGTCATTCTGTAGGTCATACAACAGCAGTTACATAGAAACACTAAACAACAGTGATGTAACTGCAGGAAACTGAAACTATGACTGTATCCTGTTAGCTGCTCAAGCACAACTTTGCAGATGACATCACACTGTGACACGACACATACAGAATTTAGGATTGGACAATTTAGAGAAGAAAGACGAATCACTTTCATCTTGTCTTTTCATCAGGGGACATCTCAATAATAGTCAGTATGTTGGATCTTCTACATGTTAGTTGAGAGTCCCACCTTTGCGCTGCTTTAGCCCCTTTTGAAGACAGCCGAATAGGCTGAAATGGAAAGTCAGCTGGTGTATCAGACAAGTTGCTTCACAACTGGGTCCAGATTGAATTCAGTATAGACCATGTGCTTAATTAATGGGACTAGATTCAATTCTAAGCCTGCCTGAGTTAGCCTGCAATACGGTTTACAATCATTTAATACTGATCAGTTATTCAGTACTATGTATCAGAGGTGTGGACTCGAGTCGCATGACTTGGACTCGAGTCAGACCCGAGTC